ATCTCTATTATTAAAAGAGAAGTATCAATAAAATATGCACCTTAATTTTCCAAATTATTTACACTACCATGCCATTGAATAATTATGGATATTACCTATTTTAATGTTTGTCTTTTTCAGTTTAATTAATGTGTTTTCCTAAAATAAATTTGAACTAAGAACATCCCGATTCACTTCTCTATTAAATCAAAGATCAAAAATATCATTGTTATCCTAAAAACAAATCAAGGAAATTATGAATTCGTGTCTTCATTGATGTGCAGTATACAATTTTCTTTAATAAAACTGATTAAGATGTACCTGTATAAAAAGTAGTGGAGGTAAATAATACAAGTAACGTATAAAGTATATCGACACTTGTATATTATTACAACCTATAACCGAGATGATACATATATTAATTGTTTATGTATAAAATTCAAACCATCTATACAATTCCATTTTTTGCTAATCATTTTAAACAAACCAAATCATTAATTTAGAATCCAAACATAATATCTTTTTTAATCTATCCAAACCTATAATCAATATCGAATATTAACTATACCTATAAAATATAGAAAATAAAATGTACACAGACAATTAAAATATTAGATATTACTAAATCAGCTAATATGTTTCTCCATAACTTTTCCACCTTCAATCCGGATATTGTTGATATTAAATCAGATATTTGAATACTTAGCATTCAATCTTCCATGATTTTCGCTAACTATTATATTTAAGAAAATAATATATTATTTATATTTTGTTTTTAAATAAATTCTTCATCAGTTGACTTGCGGAATACTGAACAATAAATGAAGATTGTGTGAATAATTAGCACCCAAACAATTTCTTATAAACAAAAAATTTTGAAAAAAAAATAGTTCCTTGCATAATATCAAGGCTTTTGCCTTCCATACTTGGTTTAAGTACATTTTCTACATTATTCACAAATATTAGTATAATATATATGTTGAATTTGTTTATATTATATCAAATATTGGTCATACAATTGATGGTTTAACAAAAAAAAAATCATAACCTTTAGTCAATGTAATACAACCAGAAAATTTAATACAAATAGAAAACTAAAAACAGAAAATTAATACATGCACGATCGTGCAGGTCAAGTTCTAGTTAGTTTTTAAAACAATCAAATAGCTAAAATTACTGTAAAAATATTTTTCTAAAAGTAATATTTTTCAAGATGTAGAAAATATATTTTTTGTATCATCTATACTATTAAAGCTGAAGTACAAAAATTAAGTGTTTGGAAACATGAGTAAGAAGATTTTAAAAATTTGTTTGGAAACATGGATATCATACAAACCTAAT